GTTTTGCTGTTATCAGAAAGATGAGTTCTATTCATCTACACAGTGAACTAATTGGCCCAGAGTTTATCCTCCGTTTCTTCTTACCCAGCTATCTCTATGGCTCCAAATTCCTTATGGTGTTGAAAACTGTTGTGGTGTTGTACACTGTTAAGTGCCACCTTCTGTGATGGGTATAGGACGAATAACCAAAAAAGCAGAGAAGCCCAGAAAAATCTTCTAGGTTAAACGCCATTAATTCTTCCCTTCAAGCATGGGATTTATTTCATTCTTATTTTTACAGATACTGAAAACCAGATTAGACAGAGAGAGCCTGTTGTTATGTTGCTGAGAGAAAAAACAATGATGTCTTGGATTTATAAGTGCTTGTCTCTCAGAGCTTAAAGTATTTTCACAAATACTGTGTTTATTCTCCAGAATAAAAATTCTTTTTCCTGGATTATAAATCTGTGTATAGAGAAAGATGACAAGGAGACATGAATGACTAACCTAAAGTCACACATCAAGCTGGAAGGAGCCAGAACTCTAGTCCATATTTCTTGGCTTTTTAACCCCTCTGCTTCCTATAAGAATCCTCAGACAATGGAGATTGGAGCAGGTCTTTTCTACAGTACACATATGATTTTGTGCATCTCAGAAAATATTACCGCTCCCAGAATGAATCCATCTGTAACATGGCCAGGGGAATCCTCTCTTATGATAGTCTTCCTGGTCAGATAGCAATTCCAGGTATTGCTTTTAATTTTAACCAAACTCACTATTTTTTTCTTCTTTTGAGAGACTTAATCAAGAGAACTTGATCACGTGCTCATCTTTGGTCACATCAGACGTCTCTCTCAGTGGAGTCTCAGTTGGGGGCAGGTTAGACACTAATGGCAATTGAGTGAACACTTGTCAAGCTTGTCACACAGAGTCAATGGGCCAGGAAATATCAATATGGAAATAGAGTCAGTGTCCTCTGAGCCACCGTGCTGGTGAATGAATGATCGGAACAGGCATCTAGGAGAGATGCAAAGGGCATTTTCTTCCTTTCAGAGAGAATTTTCTAACTGAAACACCAAGAGAGATGAAAGTGGAACAGTGCTTTAGCCACATCCAGAGAGTTGACTCTGAAAAGTGGAGCTTTGGGGAATAACCTTTTAGATCTGCTCTCTTGGTCCTTGCCTCTGAAGTCAGGGGCAATGACTCTGAATAGAATTTGCACTGATGACAGGCAGCTCCAGTAGGAAAGAATGGTGAGCATGTAGTGCAGACCCAGAGAATCTGTCAGAGAGGAAAAGAGGCTCTTCGTTTTGCTAATAACATAATCTTCTGTGGCTTGGGGTTCATAGGTAGCAAAAGGTAACCTTTCAAATGACAGCTTGTTTATTATTCTAAACACCTCAATTGGAGTTAAAATAATGACCACAAATAGTTCAGTTAAAGAAACTTAAAGAGAGGAGAGTTCTTTCTCAGCCCCTGTTACAATTGGTTGGTGATTGGGAGGGGCAGAGCCATGAAGCAAGGGTTTTGGAGTTGGCCAGTCCACATTTAAATCTTGGCTCTATCAATTCCTGGTTGTATGACTTTGAGCAATTTTTCAAAACCTCTGTTTCTTTATCTGTCATTAAAACAATGTTAACACACCCATACAGTATCTGTCTAATAGAAGTTCAAAAAAATTTTTTTTTAATTTATCCTTTCATATCCCAGAGCAAACAATTGAAGACTTCATAAAAGTTGCTAAATGCTTCCCGAAACCAAATTACCTCTTTGAAATCGGGGATAAGTACCTATGCCTCATAAAGGTGCATTAACAAGGGTGAAATCCTCTGGCAAGTACCCAACATGTAATAAGTACTCAATAAATGGTAATTATTATTAAATCATCTTTATTTTTTTTTAGCCAAAGTTTTCTTTGTCCTTCCTTACTTTATTACTTAAGTCTAAGCTACAAATGACAATTTACTATATAAGGAGGTGCACAGCATACCTTATATAATGCAGACGTAGAGGCTGAGCCCACTGCAAACGCCACTCCTATGATCGAGTCAGCATGGAAATTATCTGCATAAGCCATCATGACGATGCCCGTAATTGCCATTATTGCGGCAACTATCTGTCGAATAGAATGCAAAGAAATAAAAATAATGATGCCTCCATATCCCTGAATGAGCAATTGAAGACTTCCTGAAAGTTACTAAATGCTTCCTCAAACCCAGTTACCTCCTGTACATCACTGTTCAATTGTAGGAATGATCAGTGTTAACAAGAAATCAGAATGCTCATGGGACAACCAGGTAGAGAATATAAAAGCTGCTCACATTCTAATTTAATTTTTTAGCTCAACTTCCTAGGGATTTATACCTGTATTGGTGAAGTAAATTTAATAGTAAGTCTCTTGTAAGCATTTTCATCTATACTGTATTCTTTTTTCTTCAAATAATTTAGCATATATCTTAATCAGCCCCTTGGATCAGTGCATGATTCTCAAGAACTCCACGTAGCCAAGACTTGATTAAGGAGACGTAATAGTGATACAGCTAAGAGGCAAAATTTAGGCCAACAGAGGGACAAGTGAGTGATGTCTTATAAAGAGCAAGCTTGTGCTGTTACCTGAAATGTCAAATGGAGGCCAATTTTTCCTTTTGTTTATAGGCAAATTAAACCACAGAAAGATAATTTTATTTTATTATTCTAGAGCAGTAACTGCATAAAGTGAAATGTTCACAATTTGATTGAAATCGTAATAGTTTACTATAAATTGATATGATGCTTGATATATTCAAAACAGGAGTTTGCTCCCTTAGTGAAATGCTGGTTTGCAGCTGTTTCTTTCATTGTCTTGAACTGGTTCTACTTGGAAAACCTTTCAAAGCTATAGGACACAGTAAAATAACAACCCTGGAATAGGAAACAATGTGTCATTTTCTTGTGAAATAATCTCCCTGACTTTAAAATCAGGACACAATTTTGTGAGAAATTTAAACATGTGGTAATTAATTTTAAGATCAGTTCTGAGTATTCCTAGGTAAATCAATTCTTCTGTAGATAGCTTTTTCACATATAATTGTGTGTGTGTTTAGGGGAGCTTTTAAACATTATTAGTGAATTATTTATTACAACAAATGTAGATCTTTAACATGTAACTGTAGACTTGCCCAAGACCAATGCAAAGTATGATAGTGATGACATATAATTTAGATGCTGCTACAGCAGTTCTTTTGTTAATGACCACCAAAAGCAAGTGCACAGTTGGATTCTGAGCCAGCTCCACACTAAAGCATCCTTTATGAAAAACAGCAGGAGTACTTGAGAACAGACGCCGACATGTCAGCAGTGAAAAACTGTCTTCATAAAGTGTTATCCTGGAGGCTGCTTGATGGGAGGCGTTTCTCTTGCTGAGTAAATATCGTATTCTCTGAAACTGCCAGGAGTATGTTTCTAGTTAGACTGTGCCTCAAACTATAGGGAATAGAATTTAATACACACACCATGAAGTGTCAAGGAAATTTTCCAAACGAGAAGTAATAGACTCATAAATAAACATGGTGAGGGGGTTATCTAGACCCGGAAATTCTGGGAGGGCTATCATTTTCTTTGATTTGGGGATTTATAGCACAGCCAGGGATTTGCAACAATTCTTTGAGCCGTCTGGTTTCAGAGAATGAAAAGGCACAACAGACATGGGCATTTTCTGATGCTTTTTGTGTTTAAATAATGTCTTGGGTTAAAATATTCAGGTGCACAAGTAGATTTCCCTCATAAGACTAAATTTGTGGGATAATAAATTTGAATTAATATTTGTTTTCTTTTGGCCAAGCATCAGTTGCATTTTTCCAGGTCAAATAAACAAGACAGGGTTAATAGAACACAGTGTTAATCCTAATGAATTTTAACGTGACATGCTGTTTCATATTTAAAATTATTAAAAGTATTTAATAATGTATAATTCTGAATTTAGGGAATTATGAAAACAAACCAAAAATTAAAAAAAGCAAAAAACAAAATCACTGTCTGGAAAGTAATGAATAATTAATACTATTATTCCCAGGATCTGATCCCTGCTGAAAACTCTTCCTTTCCTGAGTCAGCCATTAGTAAAAATATATACACGTAATATTTCTATCATAAGTTTTCTCATGATAAGAATTAGATATGAACAAAGATTACATTATTTTATAACAATTCAAAGTTATTACCATGGCGAGTCTCTTTAAAATCTCCATTACATTTTAGAATCAAGTGCTTGTGAAAATATTAGCTTAGACCACTTAAATTGACATATCAATTACAGCAGTGTCTCTTTCAATTGCTTTCATGGAGAAAAGCATTTTTCACTTCAGGGGGTCAGACAACATTGTTAGTTAAATTCTCAAAGCATGAAAATCTGAATATTTGAGATGTTGGAAAAATATTTTTCTTTGTGGTATGAACAGTAATTTATAGGTTAATAATTTAGGTTATATAGATTTCCTGTGGGGAAAGATAAGTTAAATTATTTTCCACATTTTTATTTAAATTTCACAAGTATCTGATAAAATAAATTCTCTATGGCTATGTTTTAAGAAATTTTACTAAGTTTTTAATCTACACTGTTGGAACTAAGGGAAGAGATCTCAGTTAACCTAGAAAATGCAGGAAAATATTGGGCGGAAGCCCCCTTGGAGTGGTTGTTTAGATGGTCTCAAAGTGTCACTGCTTGGCACCTTGGTTAACTGCAGAGTAAATACTCTTCAAATTTCCAGAGAACAAACAACCCAAGCACAGATCTGAGTCACATGCATTTTCAGAATTAATCAGTCATTAAGGAAGGATTAATATAGTCTGCTCTTCTCAATAGAAACACAAAACAACTCTTCTCAGGCTCAGGACACAGGAAATGTGCCTGCAGGAAGCCAGTGCCTTAAAATATTGTGTCAGAAGAGCTCATATGTACACGTCCACGTGATGAAACCACAAAAATGCCTCTGAGCACATTAGCCTCCCATGAGGAACTCCTGTGCTGAAAATGCACTATCTCATAGTGCCACCTGCTTCGCTTTGGAAAAACGTGGCTCTCCTCATGACCTATTCCAGTTCCAGTCCCGTAACCAACAAGAGGTGTCTGATTAAGACAGAAAACCCACCACTACCATTACCTGAATCTGTTTTGGGTGAGAAGGTAGGTAACTTCAGTGACCATAAAACTGACAATGCCTCAATTTTTAACGTTCTAAATCTCTTTGTCCTCTCACATCAAGGTAAACCCGTTATCCCAGCATGCCGCTTGAGCGACATCACCTTTGGAGACAGCTACCTTCCTCTACAAACTCAGCCCCCTCTGAAAGCCTCTGCAGCAACTTCCTGGGACAATCGTAGGGATCACGAGACTGTTTGAGTCAATTCCTAAAGCCCAACCAAAGAGAACCACAAAGGTAAACATTTGGTGGCCTCACTGTGCTATATACTTCCTGTGGCCCTGAGTGAAAGCTAGGCTTCTTTTACCTCTCGAAGGCTTAGTTTATACAGATTAAGGCTAGAGAAGCAACTGGCTTTTGACCATTTTTGTTTTCTTGTATCTTCATTTCCCACCCCATCCCTCAAAAACCACAAGGGTCTGGCCCTTTTCTGGCTTTCCATTAGGGTTTCCCATTGACGAAGTAGCTCTTCTAGGGTTCAGGATATTGAGACGAACCTTTAGTTGCTTCTCTTTTTATTTGTAATCCTAATATCTTTCTTTAATTTGCCTTGTGGTTAACTCTGTTTCTGAAGGTGGATGGAAAGTGGAGGAGCTACATGGCTCACAGTGAACCCTGGAATCCCAAGCTTACAGCAGCCTCGAAAGTGGAGGGCCTCAAAGCTACACTGCCAGCAGGGCCGTACTCATGTTCAAGACTAAAAGTCAGCAGCTGAAGGTGGGACACACATTAATGGCTTGGCAAATGAGACCTGCACTGATGATTATCTTTGTTCTTTCTGAGTATATTTACAGAGTCTATTTTCAAAGAGCCAGGCTATACAGAATTCTTACGTTTTTCCACATGTTACATGAAAGATCCCATGAAGAAGAACCACACGTTTTCCTCAGATCCAATGAAATTGGGCAGAAGTGGAAATGAGAAAAATGAAAGAGGCGGCTAGTCAGTCTATAGCTATCCGGATATCGTGTATGTGTGAGGGGGAGGATGGCGGGTCCTTAAGACAGGTCAAACCCAAGGGGTGCAGAGCCTCAAACCAAGATTTCCACCTCCCCATCCGCTGCCACACATACATATCTATTTTTATGAATAAAACCCAACTGAAAATAATCTCAAGGGGAGACCAAGATGGAAAAGAGGAAAAAAAATGCTAAAATGAAAGACCGAAGAGTGTGTATGTGTGTAAGGATAGAGTAGACCTATTGACTGAGCCTTGTTGAAGGGGTTACGGATTCCTTGTGAGCATAAAATCAGAGCCATTACAACTCAGCTTTCTCCTCCAGCCCCATATTCCTAAGTTATCCTCCTGCCAAGAGGGATATGAAAGGGACCAGTCCCACTACACATCCTCTACTGCCTCTTCTAGGAACCATTAAGGTTCTGGATAGAAGATTCTGCACCCATCTGAATGAACAGTTACTGTGTAAATGTCAACTGAAGGCAAGATGGAAACAAAAAATTGTCTTGACTCATATCTAAATGTGTAATATTGGCACAAATCGGTAGCTGCTCAGCTCCAGTGTCCTGATTTACAGTGCTCTGGAGCCCAATTTGAGTTCAGAGAAGTACAGTTTAAGCAATGAAAGATTCACTTTAACTGGAATACTCCAGTCGGTTCTTGGTGGATGTAGGAAAATCTCCAATAGAGCCACAGTTTGGGAAGTAAACTGCACAGGGACACAATTATAGCTGAAGGGACATTGCTTCATCTCCTAAATCTGCTGAAAGAAAAATTTCAATTAATAATATAGAAAAACAAGGGAGGGAGAAGATCTTAAAGAAAAGGTTTTAACTTGCTAGTCTGACATTTACTTTTCATTGGAGTAAAATAGATACCAGTGACAGAAAAGAAAACCCCCAGCCAGTAGCTCATTTTCTTTGAGAAAAAACTTTTTTTTTTTTTTTTTTTATTAAGGCAGTTTCTCTGCTTTTCATGAATTTTAAGAACTCTAGCTACATGACATGAGATCATGGAGATGAGAAAATACCCATCTTCGAAGCTGCAAGAACTGGATTCTCACCAATATTTTTGCAATTAAAAAAATGATTTTACAGAAGTTTACTAATTTCCATGGGATAATCATATATCAGCTGTAAACAACCACTCATTAAAGAGTTTTCTAACACATCAAAGTTTACCAGCAAATCGGTTGAAATGATTTCATAATGGAAAACTAAATGTACAACAGATTATCTTTCCACCTGTAATTCGATCAACACTCCAAGTAAATGAAATAATAAGTTATTTATAATACAAAATTAGTTTTTATGGAAGCATTGCTAATTCTGGCGAACCCAAGCTCCAGATAAATTCATATTTACTGATATTATAATGTAAAGCATCCTTCCTTCTGTCCATGTGTTATGTTGACATGAAAAATAGAACTAGGAAAGGCCATATATTTATCTTAAATGTAATTATTCTTGAGGTAAAGCATATGAGAATTAAATTAAAAAAAGATCTGTTTCTAAACTACTGAAGCCTTAGAATGAGTCAGAAATATTAATTTTAATCCGATGACTGAAAGCAACCTTTTAACTATTTTTTTAAAGAGTAGTCCAAGTGGAGCAGCATTTACAGGCTTTTCTTTAGAGTATTTATGGATGTAGCCAATAAAAGCTCCATTTATGTTGTCGGTATTCTGTTTGCCTTCCTTTAATTTCTCAAATGACCTAATTATACATGTTCTCAATATGTCTCAGGAGGGAAATTGCTGATACTGTCAAAAGGCAAAATGCTGAGTACGTTTTGGGGCTTCTTATATTCCATGGCCCGATTACGGGCATCATTAAAATTACACCTTGACCTTCTTCTGTAACATGGCATTAAACACTACCTAAGGTTTTACAGTGAGAAGTGAAGCACTTCCTGTCATTTAAAAAGAAAAGTATCTGACTTCTACCAGCATGCTTCAAATCAATACTTACCATTTGCCATCTACGATGTCTTCCTTTTTTTATATAACACTTATTGGCTACGTAACATTTTTCCTATCAGGTCTTATAGATGTATTCATTTCCTGAGGATACTATGACAAATTACCACAAACTTGGTAACTAAAAACAACAGACATTTACTATCTCACAGTTCTGGAGGCCAGAAGTTTAAATTCAGCATCTCTAGGAGAGAATACATTCCTTGCTTCTAACGGGTTCTGGTGACTGCCCCAGTTTTCCTGGCCACATCACTCCTATCTCTGTCTCTGTGGTCACATTGCCTCCTCCTCTTCTGTGTGGCTCTCCTGTGTGTGCCTCTTATAAGGGTACTTGTTATTGGATTTAGGGGCCACTCAGATAATCCAGGATGATCTTTTCTTTGCAAGATCCTTAAATTATATCTGCAAAGACCATTTTTCCAAATAAGGTCACATCCACATGTTCTACGGATTAGGACATGGACACCTTATTGGGAGCACCATTCAACCCTCTACAGATGCCAATTTTAAAATGGCAATGGTTTGAAGCCTCTAGATAGATTTCCTAAATCCGTGCTTTAAATATAAGTTACATAGTTGAGTTTTTTTCTTAAAAGACCTAAGTAAACATTGAACCTCTTTTGATATGACCTTTTGCGTCAGTAAGTTCCATAGTTAAATGCATTCATTCACTGTAATGCAATTGATTGTCTCACTGGTAAATCTTATAGTGAGTGT